ATGGAAAATTTATGGTGGTTTGTGCTAACGACCGCAAAAAGTAGGTATAAAGCAACAACCATTCATTCAGTTAATGACCTGAGTACTTCAAGTCCGGTGCAAAAACGCATTATTGCAGGGGCCCGCCCGGTGCGTCCCAGCCTGGGTTAATATCATCGTCCGCCTACGCCTGGGTGCTGCATACGAACGTCTTAAAACATATGCAAATTTTTTTGCTTGAAAGCGTTCTCGGGAACCAGACCAGGTAAGGGACTGAAACTTTGCGGGGATATTCCCTGCGCATGTGCGAGCTAAGGGTTTTCAAATCCAACCTCCAGCCATGCGTGGTACACACGTAATGGCGTGTGCAAGTTTTGGTCAGAAAATTACTAGCTCGGGAACCTGAAAAGCTAGAATGCTGAAATTTTGGGGAATGTTCTCTGTCCAAGTACAACCTAAATTTTTCAAATTTAGCCTTAAGTGCGCGGTTCTCACGTACGAGAACGTGAAAGATTTAACGGGAAAATTGCTAACTCGGTAACCAGAAAAGCTGGAAGGCTGAAATTTTAGGGGCATGTTCCCTGTCCACGTGCAATTTAAAGATTTTAAATTCAGCTTCTCACGTACGGGCATTTCAAAGTTTTGGCGGGAAAATTACTAATTCGGGAACTAAAAAAAGCTAGAAAGCAAAATTTTAGGGGAACGTCCGCTGTCTAAATACAACTTAAATATTCCTAATTCCGTCTTCAGGCATGCGTGGTTCTAACGTGTAGGCACTAGAAATATTGACTGGAAAATTGCTCAGTGAACAGCTAGGTTACTTTTAAAGAACGACCGATAAATGGAAGTAGCTTATTTACTTTATGCAAAATTTATGGTGATATATGCTAGTGAGCGCAAAAGGTAGGTGTAAAGCAACAACCATTCATGCAGTTAATGACCTAAGTACTTCAAGTCTGGTGCAAAAACTCATGATCGCACCGGAAAGCTTGGTGGGTTTCAACCTGAGTTTTTTTTTCAACACATTTCACAGCCTTGTCCAAAAGCGTTAGCACAACAG